ACCCACCGTCCACTCCCATGTCGGCAAAGACCAGGACAGGTGCCAGCACGGGCGGGCACGCCACGGAGCCAGTACGCGGGCTGGGACTCCGCCCCAGCCAGGGCGGAGGGCAACAGGTCGTCAGACATGTCGTAATCCTCATGGTCGCGGTTGCACTTGCACAGCCAGGCGCGGCGCACGAGAGACTCTTCCGCTCCACCGCACCTGGGGCAGATGGTGCTGTCGTCGTGCCCCGCCTCCTGCAGCCGCTTCCTCGTGCAGCACTCGCCCGAACTGCCTTCTCTGCGCTGAGTAGGATCGAGGCCGGCGCGAGGCCCACGAGCTGGTGGCCGCAGGTGCTCACGGGTCGCGAGCCCGTTGTTGAAAGGCCCTTGGCGATCTTGGCGAGGGAGGCGTGCTCTGCGGATCTTGCCGATGGTGCGGTCGGTCCTGCGCTGCGCTTTGCCTGCTCTCTTGGCCGCCTTCGCCGTCGTTCTCCGCTCGGCGCCTGCAGCGTCGATGCCAGGGTCGACGGCGGAGCTGGTGGCCTTGATGTGGTGGCCCTTCGCCTTGAGCGCCGCGTGTGCTGAGAGCTCGATGGACGGGCTGGAAGCGATGCCCGTGGTCTCTGGGGAGACCTCGAGCTCCGCGTCGGCCATGCCGTCGTGCCAGCGCCCGCCGGGTCCCTGATGATCTGCTTGGGCGCCCCCTCTGTGCGCGCAAGTGCATCGCCGACGAAAGCCCACAGGCCCGTGCAGGGGTAAGTGCTTCGAGCTCTCCAGAGGACACGCCCGAGGCAGACCGTGGACGGCTTGCTGCCGTGGGCGCTGCCGGCAGCGATGGGGCGCAGCGGGTCAAGTTCGTGTCGCTGGCCCACGCTCGTGCATCCCGAGGCGCCGCGGAGCCGCGCAGAGCTGGACCTCTGGCGCGACTGCCGCCGCGGGGAACCCCTCGAGCACAGCCGCCTCCAAGAGCGAACATCTCCACGTCCACGAGTAGAGAGTCGCGAGGGCGATCCCGAGAGCGGTCGCCGTCTCGTTGAGTGGGGCCCTTCATTGCCGACGCAGGGCGTGCGGCGCTGGAGCCCTTGGTGGCCGCGCCCCAGCACTCGCCGAGCTCGCGGGGCCACTGGGTCCGCGAGAGGAGCGCGGGTCTGACTCCAGACCTTAGGGGCGGTGGGGGGGGCATCCCCAATATGCGCTCGCCGCCAGCAGGCTTGGGCGCCATCGCGCCCGCCGTGCCACAGACCTGCCCTGGCCAATCGCCTCGTCCTCGATCTTGTTGTAGAGGTCGGCGAGGCCCTGGATGCCGACGCCCGGGTGGCGTTGGACGTCGATGGGGGCGATTTTGTCGATGCCCTTCGCCTTCTTTTGGGGTTCGCCACGCTCGCGATGGACAGAAGGTGGTGCTCCTCGACGGGAGGGGGCGGGTCGTCCTTCGCGACGCTGTGGATCTTCTGGCATGCCTCGACGAGCTCATCCTCGGAGTGGGAGAGTGTCTTCCAGACGTCCCTCCACGTGTCCGCCGCCGCATTCACGGCGAGGTAAGGGTCGCCACAGGTGGCGCGGTCGCGTTTGAGCTCGAGCTTCCGGTGGTTGGGATCCACGGCGGTGGGGTGCAGCTGGCCAGGAGCGCTCTCCCACGTCGCCTTGGTCCAGTCGAGGTAGCGCTTGCGAGCTCAGCCTGCGGCCCTGCCCATAGCCATATTCGCCCAGCGCAGGGTGGTGGCGCATAGGCGGCGAAGGTCGTCGTCGTCGCAGACGTCTAGGGGGACGATCTGGAGTTTCCGCTCGTCGATCTCCGTAGGGTTGATTTTGGATCTGAAGGGGTCCGCAGCGAACTCAGGGCTCTCGAGCTCGTCGATCTTGAAGTTGGTCTGCTTGTGGATGCTGACCTGTGCCTTGTGTGGTCCTTGTCGTTGTGGGCGGGGGCCGTGTAGCGCGTGATGAGGGAGGAGAAGTGTTGCCACTAGGCCGCCTCCGAGTTTTGGAGGTGCGTCCTTCCAGGGGTAGCCTTCATCGTCTGAAAACGGTCCTGCGCCCTTGGGGCCGACATTGGTAGCGGCCTTGATCGTCGTCTGAGATGCTGTGCGTTTCGAGGATGGCGATCTCCGTGGCCACCCACTTCGCGTAGCCAGTGTTGATCGCGGCGGTCTTCTTCGGCCTGTCCTTGATGGGCTTTCCACCACCACCACCATAAATTTGATGGGGGGAAGGAGGAGGAGGAGGAGGAGGAGGAGGAGGAGGAGGAGGGAGGAGGAGGAGGAGGAGGAGGAGGAGGAGGAGGAGGAGGAGGAGGAGGACCCTTTCCCCCTCCAACTTATGGTGGTGGAAAACAGGCCCATCAGTCCTTGCGAAAGTTGCGCCCGCGGCCCCGCGTTGGTTCCCGCCGTGTCTCCGCGGAAGGCGGGGGAAGAGCCTGCCTGGGCTGCCGCCCGGTGACGCGCGGCCTCCGCGACCGTGAAGGGGACGTCGTCCTCCACGGCTTGCTGCTCTGATCTATGTTGATCAGGGGGGGGGAAAAAACACAGACGCAATTACTCGTCGATCCCCAAGAAAGTATGGGAAAATATGGGAAGTGGGGGGGAGGACGAAAATCCAGATATGAGAAGATACCGGGAAGATGGGTGTTTGTGTGTATTTATTTGTGTGTCCCTGGGCCCCTTCGGCTGAGCTGGTCGAACTCGTCCCCGAGATGGTCATGTAGGCGTTTTTGCGTCGTGCTTGTGGGACTCTTGGGCTCTGGCCTTCGACCTCTCGCTGTGTTGGGGTCGGCGTTCTTCTTTGGCCTCGCACGTGCCGGTGGGGTCCTGGCTGCTGCTGCCCGCCCGGCTGCTCATCGTCGAGCTCTTCGGCGTCTGAGCGTCCCTCCTTCCTCTCGGCCGTCCCCCTCCCTCCTTGCTCGCTGGCCAAGTCGCTAGTTGGTGGGGTCCTTGATGGCGTTGTACGGCCCATCCACTTTGCCTACCTCGATGAAGAAAAAAACATATAAACATAAACTTTTGGCGCTCCGCGCGGGTTTCTTGGATCCGCGCCTGTGCCCCCCAGCGGCGCCTCCGGCGCCGCCCCTGGCGCGCTCCGCGCGCCAGGGAGGGGGGTCCGGCGCGGATCCAAGAAATCCGCGCGGAGCGCCAACAATTTTTTTTTTTTTTTTGTTTTTGTTTTGTTTTCTTCTTCTACTACCGTTGCCTGGATGCCATCGGAGCATCGGAGACTTCTCCCTCGACGGAGGTGGCGATGTCAAGGCGCGCGATGGCGTAGCCGTGTGTGGGGCCCTTGCCTTTGTCGCAGGTGGCGATTCATTCGGGGGCGGTGACGGGGGCGCCGTCTTTTTTGCCAAGCCATGGCTTGCTTTGCCACCAGTCGGGCATGTAGTTCCAATCGGCCAGGATAGCCCACGGTCGTAGAGCCTGTCTACGAGGGTGGATATGGAGACCAGTGCGCCGCGGTTGGCGCCCTGGTATCGAAGTTTCTGGGCGGAGATGGGCACCGACAGCGACGATGTTGCCCATCTTGGTGTGGAGCATGCTCGGGGAGAAGGCCGCGAAGGGCTGCCTGTTGTATTCCATCTCGTAGAAATTCCTGATGCTCTGAAAGATGTAGCAGCGATGCCCCTGCGCGTGAGGATCCACGCGCCACCGTGCGTGCCCTTGTCCGATTTGTTGGTGGGGAGTGCAAGTGTGGCGGCCAGCTTCCAACCATTTTTGGCGAGCTTGCCGCGCTGGTCCAGTGACCGATCTGCGCTGACGTCGGTCTTCGCAAGCGCCGCCGCGTGGTACTTGTAGCCCCTGGTTCTGAAGTAGTTTGCCGCTTGTGGTCCCCACTCGGTGATGTTGCGTACCAGGCCGTGACCGCGATGCTGGCGTGGCGGCATGGCTGCGTGGTTCCCCTCCAGACGTTGCTGTCTCAGGGGCTTGCGCAACCATGCCGCCTCATATCCCACCCACGTTGGAAATGCCAGTATTACCCCGCCGGTCATGCCGACCCTCTTTTGCGAGCGCCTGCGTCTGCAGCTGGCTGGGCAGCGGGGTCAGCTCCCGTTTCCAGTGGCCTCGACGGCTCAAGCGGCGTCGGTGGATCTCGTGGTGATGTCGGCGGCGGCCGTCTTATCGGCATCTTAGGGCTCGGCGGCGGCGGGCCCTGCTGCGGGCTCCCTCCGGTGCTTGGGGGACGCTGGAAGCGGCGCCCTCTCGAGTAACGCTGCTGGCCGCGGTGGTCGCAGCCGGCGGTGCGTCGGCCATCGCTTCGGGATCGTCCTCGCCAGCAGGGGGGTGGCAGGAGGGGTGGCCCCTACTTGCGCTCGGCGGGGTTTGGGGGCGGACGCCGTGGCCTTCCCGAGAAGGTCGCGGGCGTGCTCCTGGCCGTCGTTGAGTGCCTGGATGCGGTTGTCGAGGTCCCACTTTCGCCCCTCCAGCTGGGCGCTGGGGGCGTCGTCGTAGATGCTGAGGTCGTCCCAGTTGGTTTGGTCCACTGAGAAGGCGAGGGTAGCAGCTGGCTGTTGTCCAGCTCCTGCTGTGCGTGTAGCTGATGTGGCCAGCTTTGCGTGCTGGTCGTCTTGGGCTCTGGCGCGTGCGTTCTTCGCCTGGGCGGGGATCGAGATCAGCCGGGTTCTGCTTCTCCAGCGCTTGGTCGAGCTACGCCTGCGCCTTCGCGACGTCGTCGGCATTGTTGAAACTTCTTCTCCCTGTCAGCGAGGACGGCGAGCGCGGACTGGAGGGCCTGCTCGGCTGTCCCTGTGGTGCTGCGCAGAGCTTGCCAGCGGGGTGGTCGTGTTTCTCGTCGCCTTTGCGGAGTTTCTTGGGCGCCTCAAGGATCGACGCCGTGGGCGGTCGGTCCTCTTTGTCCTTGTGGTGGTACTGGCCGCTTAGCTTTCCATGGTGGCCAGGTGGCGCTTCCCCCTGCCCATGCACCGGCAGGCTGCCGATGCCCAGCTGGGGGTGGGGCGAAGGGCCTTCCGCGCATGAAGCACTCCTGCTTCACTTTCCATGTCCACCTGCAGCGACACTGCCTGCGCACTATTCGGGGCCCACAGATATACACCACCATTACCTCCCTCACCCTCTTCATCTCCCAGGAAAACAAGGGGAGAAAAAGGTAGAGAAGAGACGAGGAATCGATGTGGTGGTGGTGGTTGTGTATACTCTTCGGGCCCGCACACGATTTACTGGGACAGATGTTTCTTCTTGCTGGAGCTCCACGCCGACGGTGCTGGTGTGGTTTGGAACCACGTTCCGCTCCACGGCCACGCCCGCTTGCCGCGTCGACAAGGTGTGTCGCCGTCGCCGCTCGGGGGCGATGTGCGAGCATGGAAGTGGGCGGCAGCTCGCCCCTGAGTGTGACGCCCTAACATTTACAGCATCGAGTTGAGCTGACGGCATCCACGGAGTTTCGGCTCCAAGAAGGTGTCGTATTCAGACACGCGTAAATTCACGCTCTCTGTGAGTCATCGAGTATTCGCTGCACTTGTAGCGTTGAAAACCCGAATAGCAGCGCAGTCCAAAGCGCGTGCAACGCTTGCGGGAGCCTTCTGGATCTGGACGGAGCGTGGGCGGCCGCCCGCCCCTGAATGCAGCTGCTGTCGCAAGGGTCGCTGGATGCGATGGGAGCCTGCCCCGCCTTAGCAGTGGACTGAGGACCATTGTGGCTTGAGCCAAAATGGCGACGGAGCTGATGATGGGGAGGAGGAGGGTGAGGAGGAGGTGATCGGAGGGCGCGAAGAGGAGGAGGAATACGAATAGGAGGAGGATTACGAGGAGGAGGAGGAAGAGGAGGAGGAGGAGGAGGACGAGGATGAGGACCACTGTAAGCCCGAGGTCCACTAACGATGTTGCAATAAACCCTCCCTCCAAGTTCCGTCTTCATGAGCCCCTACAAGGATGCATTTTCACGGACGGAAGTGCCACGTTGAACGACAACCGTTTGAACGTCATGAACTATGCCAGAGCACCATACTTGGGACGCCAACGCCGCGAATCACCGTTACAGTTGCGTCTTGACGATCTTGAATCGTCCCATAACGCCATTCCTGGGGCATCAACACCGTGAATCCACGCAACTGTTGCGCCCTGGCGGTCAGACACCGTGCCAAAACACCATTGATGGGACATTCGCCATGCGAATCCTGGAAACTGAAGTAAGCTCTTAAAACGAGTGCGCGCGGCGCTAAGGCGAGAGCCACATGCTGAAGCAAATACCGCCCTCCAGCTGTGACACTTTCGATTGTTCCAGGCAGCTGTGCGCGGCGTTCAGGCGACAACCACATGTAAAAAAACGGCCCGCCCTCCGTGCGTGAAACTCGTGCAGCCGTGTCAGAAGAATGTGCGCGGCGCGAACGGCTCGCCTTCCACCCGTGAAGTTTTTACCAGTTTTTAAGACGAGTGTGCGCGGCGCTAAGGCGAGAGCCACACCTTGAAACGGGCCCGCTTTTCATCCGTGAAGCTCTTTGACATTTGAAACGGATGTGCGTGGCGCTCAGGCGAGAGCCACATTTTGAAATCAACTCGCCCTCCATCCGTGAAGCTGTCGAAACATGTAAAGCGAGTGTGCGCGGTGCTAGGGCGACAACCACGTTTTGAAGCCGTCCTTCCCTCCAACCGTGAAGCTCTTGCCATCTTTCAGCGCAATAGGCGTAAGTGATGAGGAAGCCTCGGGCGAAAAGCCTGGCCCGCCCTACCGACGCGCTTCGGGGTACGACAGTGAGGAGTTGTTGTTAAGGAAAAGGAATGACAGAGGAGGAGGAGGAAGAGGAGGAACAGGAGGATGAGGAGGCGGAGGAGGACGAGGAGTAGGAGGAGTAGGAGGAGTATGAGAAGGAGGAGGAGGAGGAGGAGGAGGAGGAGGAGGAGGAGGTGCGGGAGGAAGAGGAGGCGAGAGGATGGCGAGAGGAGGTTTCGGGGGAGGGGGGGAAGGAGGGGGAGGACCAGTCTAAACCCAAGATCACTCACGATGTTGCAATAAACCCTCTCTCCAAGTTCCCTCTTAATCGGCCCTTACAAGGGTTCTTTTTTCCTGAGGGAAGGGCCCCGTTGGAAGACAACCGTTTGAACATCCCGAAATGTGTCAGAACACCATTCGATTCCTGGGACGTCAACACAGCGAATCACTGTTACTGTTGCGTCTGGACTATTCGGACTCGTGCCAGAAGTCCGTTCCTGGGACATCAACACCACGAAACTACGCACCTGTTTCGCCCAGACAGTGCGATTTCGTGCCCAAACACCATTGATGGGACATCAACGGTTATAATCATTGGAACTGATTTGAGCCCTTCAAACACATGTGCGCGGCGCTATGGCGAGAACCACAGTTTGAAAAGGAGTCGCCCTCCAGCTGCGAAGCGCTTGCACGCTTTTAAGACGAATGTGCGCGGCGCTGAGGCGAGAACCACATTTTGAAAACGGCCCGCCCTCCATTCGGGAAGTCATTGCAAGCTTTTAAGACGAATGTGCGCGGCGCTGAGGCGAGAGTCACATTTTGAACACGGCCCGCCGTCCATTCGTGAAACTTTTCGTGATTTTCTAAG